AGCAAGTTTCTAACCAGGTCTGCCCAGTCTTGAATTAGGCACTTATCTTTAGGACTGAGGAAACTGTTCAAGAGAAACTTTAGCATCTAATTACGTTTTGGATAGTTAGGGATCAAGGAAGGAAAAGAATGACAGGTTTTCGGGGCTAGGGAAGTCATGCAGTGTGTTCCTGGGGCCTGGGTCCAAGTGGGGGAGGTTAGTTAAGGCACCACACAAATATTTTTTGCACCCCTGCTGCAGGCAAGGCCCTATTCTAAGACAGAAGATATAGCAGATAACAAGGAACACAAAGTCCAAACGCAAACTCTCAAGGACTTTATATTCCAGCAGAGGATTCATAGTGTTAAGCAACTAAGCACAGAATTAATTATGCCATTCAGGTGGGAGTCTGCTCAGTTCCTGCAGAATTGTATACTCCTAACTTCCCATGTTTATTGTTCAGAAACATAACTGGCTATTAAATATTCACTAGTCTTTAGGGCTTAAAGGTATGTTTAAAAGAAATAAATAATTAAGGTATGATTTATAATCTTAGTCTTATCCATTCCTTTTACAGTGAGTTAAAAACCCTTTTCAACCTTTGGACTAACACCGTATTATAATGTGAGATTTCTTGGTTCTCAGGGACTAGCTATAGGTCTATTAGGAAAAATTTCTTATTTCTTAGCAATGGATAATCTCAGCTCCTTGCTGATGTTTTTCAAGTTGTTTGCAGAGATGGCCTTAGGTTTTCTTTTTTGTTTGCTATGTACTGTACAAAGCCCTTACTTTCAGTGGTAGAATTAAGTACATAGGGAACAAGTCCTTGGATCTGTTTACTTATCCATTACCTGTGACGAAGAATGGTGTTGCCATGACCTCTCTCCCAGGTTGTAACTGTAGCTGTTGTGTGCACAGTGCTGAGATCGCAGAGTAGCTCTGAGCCCCCGGGGGTGCCAGGGCAATGCAGAATAACTGATCATGGCTGCGTGCAGAATTGTTCTAAAATGACACTCAGACCGGGGCTCATCAGAAAAGAAAACTGTGATTGATAAGTGAAATCTGCTGTGGGCAAGGAAGGGCGAACTTGTACTGTATGAGCCAGGAATTTTCCATTCCATATATACTGACACCCTGGGAATGGCTTGACCTTGTGGCTTCAATTTTAATCTTCCCCAGGTATGGGGACCATTTATTCCATTTTGAGTAGAATGCTTTAGACACAATTTAAATAATCTAGCCCTCCTCCCCATTCCTAATGAAGTTAAATTGATTTTCTTATTCCCCAATAGGATCACATTCAGCCTGCTGTCATTCGTGGGTTATTCCTCTTAGCCCACATATGAGAATAAAAACTATTATTAAGTGGTGAGGATAAAGTGGTAAACTATACTCATATTGTCCTAAACTTAGGAAAGACATGTATGCCTAATGCAGAACCCTTACACACACACACACACACACACACACACACACACACACACACACACGCATGGTTTAAAAAATCCCTTTATGCATTTTACTTTACCCTTTTCTGTATTTTTTTTCAATCTAGAATAGACTCCTGGGTGTTTTTCAATTTAGACTAAAATTATTAGTGTGTGTGTGTGTGTGTGTGTGTAGAATAGATTACAAGACAAATTGTATTTCTTGTGGGTCATGGTCAATATAGTTTGAAAGTCACAATTCAGACCATACTCCTTTTATAATCCCAGAGCCTTAGGGGAGAGAAGAATAGTTTCTTGCCACTTATGGACTGCGCGTATAGCATCAGTCTCAATCACATCAAATCCACGTGCTGCTTTACTTTGGTTGTTCAAGTAAAGCTTTGGAGGCATGAATTTGGGGCAGGAGTAGTAAGCAAGGTCCGCTTAAAATGCTTTCCACACATACGGAAGCACAACACGAAACCCTGAGCAGTTACCTTTATGAAGGCCCAGGCTGTCACGGCCCCCTTCTCCATGCTCTGACCGACCCCTGAACTAGTGAAACGGCCCTAGGTCCCATCTCAAGTGAAAACTGCTCTATGTCTGCTTAGCAAAAATTAAGGGATGAAGATGGATTATTCTGCCCGACCTGTGTCTGGGAGCGTGGTCCACCTCCAATTCCTCGGACAGCACACAAAACTTACTACGTTTCATAGTCACTTGTGACTCTGACCAGGGTTTCTATAGCTGCAGCCATTTCCCAGCTGCCTGAAGAGTGATCACAGCTTATCTTCACTCCTCAGTGACTTAGGCAGCCAGATGCCATTTTGGGGTGACCGTCAATAGATTCATAAAAGCTATAAATCCGACCCATGAAGAGGAGAAACAGACTGCGGTCAAAAGGGCCAAGGAGCAGAGGCCACTTTCCCGGCAGAGCCCAGCTTCGTTTCTCTTCTGGCTGCAAGTGGGAGGTCAGGATCCAGACTGAACATGGGGGCGGCAAGAGGGGCTGCCTGGGGAGGCCCACTGGGGGCCCCTGAGGTCCATCGTCAGACTCCTTGTGTTAGTATAAAAGTAAGTGGATCCTTGTTTAAATGATGTGGTGAGGGAGCACAGAAAGAGGAAAGTTGCACTTAGGTAGTTTTAAGGGCTAGAAAGGGGTCAAATACCTAGTTCTTCAGTAGCCTGGCAGGATTGGGAGAGGAGCCCTATACTTGAGGGGAAGGCCTTCCACGGGCCTCCAGTGGGTGGTCTGGGATGAATCTCAGTGCTTTTGTTCCCCCTCAACTTCAGCAAACTATATTCTTCTTGTCAAGTATCCGCTTATTAACACTGGTAAAATTTTCAGGGTACATAGGGCATGACTCTCTTGCAGTAAAATCTTAAAAACAGTGGACATATTTTCAGATTCCATATGTTGTGAATACATTTTTAGTAATGAACAGGTAACAGCTGAGCCTGAAACTGTAAGTGAACCAGAACTCAGTATCAGGTACTGGGAGGGCCCTTTCCCAGTGTCCTTCCTCTTTCTAGCTTCTTCTGGCGCAGGCACTGGCTGAGGCAGTCGCTTGGAGGTCTTATGTTATATTTTCCCGTTGGAGGTTCTGAGTTAAATGAGCCAGCGAAGGAGCTAGTGCTTGACTGAGCTTTCTTCTATTTTTAAAAAAATTTATTTTATTTAAATTGAAGTCTAGTTTATTTACAATGTTTCAGGTGTACAGCAAAGTGATCCAATTTTATATATATATTCTTTTCCAGATTCTTTTCCATTATAGGTTATTACAAGATATTGAATATAGTTCCCTGTGCTATACAGTGGGTCCTTGGTGTTTACCTATTTTGTATGTAGTAGTGAGCATCTGTTAACCCCAAATTCCCAATTTCTCTCTTCCCCACCCCTTCCCCTTTGGTAACGTAAGTTTGTCTCTAGCTCCTGCCTTCTTTACAGTTGTCTCTGCTGTGGGTGGGAGGAGACAGTAGAGGGACAGAAGCTCTAGGCTCTGCATTTGTGCTAAGGGGCAGAAGGGCCTAGAACCGGGCCTTCCACTGTACGATGTGCGACTCTCACCTGTGCTCTGAGCGCTTCTCTTACTCTTCCCCAGGGTTCTTCCTCCACCAGTTTTCTTCACTTTCTCTACCATGGAAGCGCCTTCCCTCTGTTGGCTCTTTTTTCTCCAGCATGTAACAATCTTTGAAAGCAATCTACCTGTCCTTCCTTTCTAAGTCTGACAAGGTAAACAGGTGCTACCTATAATCCCTATTTTATAGATGGGGCAATGGGTCCAGAGAGATTAAGTGTAAACATGTGGCACATGTGCTCTAGAAAGTAACTTCCATGGAGGTTAGAGAAAGTGACAGCAACACTGGGTTGCTCCCCAAAATCAGAGGTGTGAAGAACTATACCTATTAGTCATCTTCTGAGCAAATTTTTTTTTTTTGTACAGAAACACTGATTAGGAAAGACTGGTCATTATAAAATACAGGTGAGAAAATGGATTGTTTTCTTAAAAACTGACCACAGGCACATGGATAACTAAATATTTTTATTTGACATCTGGATTCAATTTCACATATATTTGCATAAATTATGAATAATTATCTCTAATGATTGACTATGCACAACTGCATGCTAGTTCACCTGATCCCACTTTCACTCTCCACTTACAACGCAACCGTCACTCTGTTGTAGCACCAGAAAGAAGAGAGCTGCTGGTCCTTCTCCTTAGGGCAACACCGGCTTTGCACTATGTAAAGCTGCTGGGCAGGTTCTACCTGTTTTAAATTTTAATAATCAGGCCAATCATTTTTAAATTTATTATGAAAAGATAATACCAAAAACCATTAAGGCCAGAATAAAATGGTGCAGTTCTAGCATCCCAAGCTAGAAGGAATTATTTTTTCAGTGAAAGGGAATACATATAATACAGAAAGAGCTAATATTATTAGACAGAAGTAGCCTTTGGTGTTAAGCAATTAAGGATGAACAGGAGGAGGGTTATGTGCTGGACAGCACAGAGCCTCAACAGAGCCGTCTCAGATTCAAACCTAAAAACAGTTTTCTAGGGCTTCCCTGGTGGCACAGTGGTTGAGAGTCCGCCTGCCGATGCGGGGGACGCGCGTTCGTGCCCCGGTCCGGGGAGATCCCACATGCCGCGGAGCGGCTAGGCCCGTGAGCCATGGCCGCTGAGCCTGCGCGTCTGGAGTCTGTGCTCCACAACGGGAGAGGCCACAACAGTGAGAGGTCCGCGTACCGCAAACAAAAACAAAAACAAAAACAAAAACAAAAACAGTTTTCTGGGATACATGGAATGATTAATAACATAAGAATGATCAGTCCTGAATTTTAGAGTGGAATAATCCACATTAGTTTTCCAACTGAGTGTAATTTACTTTCTTAAGAAATAATGATTTCCCCCCCGTCACTGTACAATTGAGATCTGTCATTCATAATGTTACCTGGATGATCTAAACATTAACATATTTAAAACTAGCAGGCTTCTCAGGGACAGGTTTAGATTCCTGCCAACCAAGGTGAACTGTTCTTGTGGAGCATGAAGTTGTTGGCAAATGAGGTCAGAGGCACAGCTGCGGAGGTCAGTCATGGGTGTTTTTGATGGCCATGGTCCAGAGAAGGGGATGGTCTGTTTCCACAGTCACAACACCAGATCCATCGTAGGTATTGGAAGTGCTGACCAGTGTTCCAAAACTAATCCTATGATTTGCTGTAAGAAAATAAGAAAACAAGTTTGGTGAGAGCCAAGCTCCCTCCAGTGGAGAATGGCTTTGTCAAGAGTTACCGAAAAGCAATTAAGCACATACTTTGATAGATGATCTGTAAAATGCGGGATAGGTTAACTTAATACCTGCCCTGCAAACAGACTGTACCTTTTTTTTCCTCCTGTGATTATACAGTTAGGCCCCCACCAGCCATCTGCTTCATACCTAGGAGTGTACATATGTCAGTCCCAATCTCTGGCAGGGCATGGGGAGTTAGTGTTTAATGGGGGCAGTGTTTCAGTTTAGGAGAAAAATTCAGTAGATGGATGATGGTGAGAGTTGCACAACAGTATGAATGTACTTAGAGCCACTGAACTGTACAGTTAAATATGGTTAAAACAGTATGTTTTATATTATGTGACTTTTACCACAATAAAAATTTTTTTTTAAATGTGGGATAGGTGAAATGTATGATATGAGATTCTAAACCTGAAAGTTTCTATAACTTGTTATAACCAGTCTTCCTGGAGTTGGTTATTGGTTATTTACCAGTTTGGGATATATGTCACTCTCAATACTAAATTTCATTAAATTTTTTTTTTTCTTTACCAGTTGTAAAACCAAAACCTATTTCTGTAATAGGTTACTTCCTTGCCTGGGTGCAATTTTAATTTTTCTTGATGATTCCGAATTAACTTTTTTTTTTTTTTTTTCGGTACGCGGGCCTCTCACTGTTGTGGCCTCTCCCGTTGTGGAGCACAGACTCCAGACGCGCAGGCTCAGTGGCCATGGCTCACAGGCCCAGCTGCTCCGCGGCATGTGGGATCCTCCCGGACCGGGGCACGAACCTGTGTCCCCTGCATCGGCAGGCGGACTCTCAACCACTGTGCCACCAGGGAAGCCCCAGCATTAACATTTTTATATTTGACTAAGCTCTATAAAAATACAGTTTTAGTTTTAATTATAAATGATATGGGGCAGAAAGCTAATTACTTAAAAAAAAAAAAAGCATGGGATTTTGGTCATTTTTTTCTCATAAAGAAAAGCCAAAGTGAACAAGGCTTGCTTTCTTTAAAATTAATCAGAACTCGGAGGTCAAAAAGCAGACTTCCAAATGTGTAATCTTGAGCATGCCACTTAAACTCAGCATATAATGAGGGCACAAGATGAGATAATCCTTTAAATTACTTAATTATGAAAATAAAGGCTTTGGAGATAAGGTATATTATTAGAATTTATATATTTATAAATTACATAAATTACAAATTCATAAATTACACAATTACATATAAATTACATTTATATATATATATATTGATTTCCTAACAAGTTCGTTGAAGTTAATGCCTGGGCATCCATTGGTAACCTCACTTCCCTTTGCTTATAAAAGAGCAAAACCATGACTGTCCTACAAACATTCCTTGATAATCAGTACCGATTTCTTTGCTAAGAAATTAGAAAGAGAAAAGTAAACAAATGTTATGGAGAGAAATAAACAAATGTCAGAGTCAGAAAAGGCCCCTTTTCCTTCAAACAAAGTTCAACTATGGAGTTACACAGCTTTGGAGTAAATAATTCAATTATAAGGGTCACTTCCCGCTAGAGGGAGCCTGTTATCTTTCTGAGGAAATCTTGAAAAGACAATTAAAAAATTCAGAAGTAGTATTATCGGATAATATAACATCAGGATAAGTAACATCAGATAATATAACATCAGTATAAACATCACACAGTTTACTTATTAAAACTCAAACTATTTCTTTACTAATTACTAACGTGATTAGTAAATTGTCAACACGTTTACTAACGCAAACACGAGGTTATAAAGTAAAACTACAGGAATACAAGAGTGAACCTCGTGTGACTGTTGCCCTAACAGGTAACTCAGTGCCAGAAGCTTTCGCCTCTCAGTAATCTGGAGCTTTTCTGAGATGATGTTTCTGAATGATATTTATGATAAGCACATAACAAATCCAGACACTATTACATAGATAGTGAGTCTGTCAAGGAAAGAAGCCTTGCTCTCCTGAAGGGTGACCGTGCCTGGAATCCGGGTGCACACCAGATCCCTACTGACATCCATCCCAGGCCCAGGGTTCCCAACAGCCCTCTGAGGAAGGGAGGGGGAACAGTTTACACATTTCATACCGTTTATTCAGAAGGGCAATTTAGGGTGCTTCGGTGGACCAGCTTTACAGTGGAAACCCCCCAGTGAAGCACCAGGTGCACACAACCCACCTGAACGTGAAACAATGCGTTTAAGATTCTGGCAACTAATTAAGTTAAAATCCTGTTTTTTACCTGGGCTCAAAGGACATGAGTGCAAAATTCTTTCTCTAGTTTGTAGTTGCACGTAAATTCCTTTCTGATTTTCTGAAGGCAGACTATGGATTTTGGATTATCCTAGGTAGACAACTATATTATATATATTGGCTTTTCTAAGACGTTGTTGCATCCTAATTAATTCTTAAATGGGAAAAGAAGTGAAATAGCTTTATTAGGGTATGAGAAGGTACAGTTTTTACTTTGCATGAAATATATAAGGCCATTATTATCCAAGCTTATAAATCAATGTTTTCTTTGTATTTTATAACGTTAAAAGAACCAGTTATTAAACATTTCTTAGTTGGCTTTGGACGGCTGTAACAAAATGCCATAGGCTGGGTTGCTTAAATAGCAGACATTATTGCTCACAGTTCAGGAGCTTGGGAAGTCCTAGATCAGGGTGCCAACATGGTTGAGTTCTGGTAAGAACTGTCTTCCTGGCTGGTTTTCAGACAGCTGCCTTCTTGCTGTATCCTCATATGGTGGAGAGATCTCCTGTCTCTTCCTCTTTTTATAAGGGCACTAATCCATCATGAGGGTCCCACCCTCATGACCTAATCCAACCCTAATTATCTCCCAAAGGCCCCACCTCCAAATACCATCATATGATCTTCAATATGTGAATTTGGGGGGACTCAAATACTCAGTCCATAACAATAGTTACAATTAATTAAAGGTTACAGTGAAATTCATTTGATTATCTCCAACTTTATGGAAAGTAGAATAAAAATGATAGAAAAAAAAAGATGAATAAACTGAAACACAAAATCATGAAATTCAATTGACTATGTCACTACAATTATTTTGGAGTATGTTTTCTCCAAAGAATCATGCTTTTGGACAAAACTTTCAAAAGTCTCCCTTGGAAGAAAATCTCTCTTTTTTTTTTTTTTTAAGAAAATATTTGGAATTAATACAGAACTCCCCTCTCCCCAGATGTTTGAGGGTCAATCATGAAATAAAATACATAAGACTGACAGAGAGATAACTTCCTCCAGATAGCAATACAACAATTACTTCCTTTTATTATTTTTCTTCCAGTTTTATTGAGAGATACTTGACATATAATAACACTGTATAAACTTAAGGTATATAGCAAAATGACTTGACATATGTATATACTGTGAAATGATTACCAAAATAAGTTTAGTTAACATCCATCACCTTATATAATTACATTTTTTTTCCTTGTGAGAACTTTAGTGTCTACTCTCTTACCAACTTTCAAATATACAGTACAGCCTTGGCAATGATACTCGTCATGTTGAACATTACACAGCCAGTACTTAAATTTATCTTAAAACTGGAAGTCGATATCTTTTGACCACCTTCACCTCATTTTCTCCACCCTCTGCCTCTGGTAACCACAAATCTGATCCTTTTTTCTATAAATTTGAGTTTTTTAGCTACCACATATAAGTGAGATGGTACAGTATGTGTCTTTCTCTGTGTGACATTTCATTTAGCATAATGCCCTCAAGGTCCATTCATATTGTTGCAAATGGCAGGGTTTCCTTTTTATGGCTGAACAGTATTCCACTGTATATACACCACATCTTTATTCATCTGTCGGTGGAAACTTAGGTTGTTTCCATGTCTTGACTATTGTAAGTAATGCAAGTAATGCTGTAATGAACATGAACATGGGAGTGCAGTTATCTTTTTGACATAGTGACTTTGTTTCCTTTGGATATATACCCAGAAGTGGGATTGCTGGTAATATGGTAGTTTTATGTTTAATTTTTTTGAGAAACCTCCATAGTGTTTTCCATAGTGGCTGTACCAATTTACATTCCCACCAACAGTGCACAAAGGTTCCTTTCTCTCCATATCCTCTCCAGACTTGTTCTCTTGTCTTTTTGACAATCTAATAGGTATGAGGTGATAACTTATTGTGGTTTTGATTTGATTTCCCTGACTAGTGATGTTATCTACCCTTTCCATGTACCTCTTGGCCATCTGTATGTCTTCTTGGAAAAATGTCTATTCAGATCCTTTGGCCATTTTTAACTTATTATTTTTTCTTTTGAGTTGTGTGAGTTCTTTATATATTTTGAATATTAACCCCTTCTCAGATATGATTTGCAAATATCTTATCCCATTGCTTAGGTTGTCTTTTCATTTTGTTATTGTTTCTTTTGCTGTGCAGAAGCTTTTTAGTTTGGTGTAGTCCTACTTGTTTATTTTTTTATTTTGTTGCTTGTGCTTTAGTCTTTTGTGCTTTGGTCTTTTGCCAAGACCCATGTCAAGAAGCTTTATTCCTGTGTTTTCTTCCAGGAGTTTTATAGTTTCAGGTCTTATGTTAATTTCTTAATCCATTTTGAGTTAATTTTTGGGAGTGATGTGAAATAGGGATCTAGTTTTACTCTTTTACATGTGACTATCCAATTTCCCAGCACCATTTATTAAAGGACTGTCTTTTCTCCATTGAGTATTCTTGGCTCTTTTTTCATGTTAGCTCACTGTATGCATTGGTTCTCAATTCTGTTGTATTGGTTTATGTGTCTGTTTTTATGCCAGTACCGTAATGCTTTTATTATTATATCTTTATAATATAGTTTGAATTCAGGAAGTGTGATGCCTCCAGCTTTGTTGTTCTTTCTCAGGATTGCTTTGGCTATTCAGGGTCTTTTGTAGTTTCATATGAATTTTAGGATTTCTCTTTCTTCTGTAAAAAATG